CGGCGGAGGAGCGGCTCGTGCCCCCGCCAGCGGGTTCAGGCGATATATCCTTGGGGCTGCCTCCGCTCTTCGCCCCGGCGCCCTTCACACCGTCCCATCCCGTCTTCGCGCACCTCGCATCGGTCGCCCAGGAGCGCTCCCAGGCACTGCGCAATGACGCACAGGCCAAACTGGCGCGCATGGCCGCAGACTTGAAAGCGGACGTCACCCGGGACGAGACGGCGCTCCGGCGGGAGGTCGAGGCGCTCTGGCTATCGTTCAACAATTCGCTCTCCGACGCCACTCCACTCGCAAAGGCGCCCGCATCTGTCACAATCCCATCTCCGGAACCAAGATCGCCTGTTCGTGAGCGAGAAGCTGGCTTTGCGCCTACCCCGCGTGTTTCCCCCCCGGCTACCCCATCGGCGCCTGGTCGTCCGCAGTCAGCGCTCTCCGCCTCACTCTCAACATCCGCCTTCCATCATCCACGTGCATCCGCTTCAGGCTTCAGCACTGTCAAAGTGCCTCACAGCCGTTCAATATCGAGCCCCGGCGTCGCTTCGGACGCCACATTCGTTGATACAGAGGCCGTTCTTCGTGGAAGCTTCCGTCGCAATCTCGACCAGGACAAGGATGTCGCAGCCAGCTTCAAATACACGCTTGATCTCGGTGCCGAGATCGCTGCTCGGAAAGAGGCATCCAGGCAACAATCCCAGTCAAGATCACCGCCATCTCAGCCGCCCAGCAAACAAGCTATCGCAAAGAGCCCACCGCCAAAACGCGCAAGAACAAAGGAGCCACCGACGCCTGACGGCAAGGATACGAGTCCGAAGAACAAGGTCAAACGCAAGGTCACGTTCGCAGACGGCGCCACCGCAGAGGAAGTTCACAAGGCCGAAGAACACAATCTTACAAACGGGAACGGCGTGACCCCACAGTCAATTGACGACGGCGAGTCCAGCCCCTCCAAAACACAACACAGACATGCTTAACGGATTGGTACAGAGATCATCTTTGACCTGGAAGACGAAACGGAAGACTCGTCGCCCCGCCCACCCGCGACTCTAGCGTTGAACGAACCTCCCACGCCGCATCTGCCGCAGCGCCCGCACCCGCAGAAGCGCTCGTCCTCCGGCGGACTCCCCGAGTCCTTCTCTCGCCTCCGTCCCGCCTCGTTACCCGCACCATCACCGCTTCGCGCGTCGTCACCGCAAACGCCGACTGCACCGCTTGCCATGTCGCCCGTCACAGATATGCCCAGATCGAGCTTGGCTCATACGCCCAAGACAAATGTCGAGAGCAATGGTGATGGTCGGAAACCGGAACCGGATATGAATGTGGACGTGATTCCCGCCCCGCTCAGTTCACGCGAGGAAGAGCTGGCAAAACTTGTCGCAGCCGGTACACCGTCTCATCGCGCTGCGTGGCGCAAAGACAGTGCTGCCTGGTCCGTCTTCTCAGGCAGACGCCGCCCAGACAATGCCGCAGCGCGGGATCTACTCTCCGAAGACGAAGAAGAGGGTGAAGGCAATGATGCGCTCAGCGCGCTGCCACGCCGGATACCAGCTCATTCCGGGGATGATACGCGCACAGGCCCTGCTATAGCTGCATCTTTGCCTGTCGCTATTGGTCCGGTACGTCCTGCGAACACTGGTGCAGGCGGGGTTGGCATGACATATGCACCCAAAACGTCGCTGGGGAATCGCTATGGGGAGCTCGTCCCGCCACTCATCGCTCGCCATGCGGCTTACGCTGAACGAGATCGCGCGCGGGGCATGGATCCGGGCGCGCTCGACTTCGTCTCGGGCAGCGATGATCTCAATATCGATGTTGATACCGACTCGGATTTGGGAGAAAGTTGGGGAGAAGAGCAGGATGCGAGTCGAGGAAGGCAAAACGCGTTGAGGATCTTGAAGGCCAGGAGCAAGCTGCCCAGTGAAGGAATGTGGAGAAGTTTGGCGAGTTGAGGTCGTATTATATTGCTGGAGGTTGATTTGTGTTGTATTATTGGGCGTCAGTGAGAACGTATGTATTCATTGCTGTACTACCGTTTGTTTGTTCTCAGGTTCCCTTTTGTTTGTTTTATTGTAGGCTTCAACCGTTGGTGCTGCAGCGTTACAATCCCCATCGACCCTTGTGTCCAGGGACTGCCTATCATTCTTTGTGTATAAAACTGAGGAGTTCGGGCCCATAGAGCTGCTCACCCTGCATGTGTCAAGAGCGGAGCCGCCTGCCGTACGCTCATGGTGACAGGTCTCGCAGTGATTGGTATAAGTATGAGGCACAGCCTGACGCTCTCTCGCTTAGACCTTCATCATCTTATAAACAAAGGAGCAGGCGCTTCGGGCAGAGACAAACGCCAGAGTCATTCCGGCAACCTGATTGGCTGGCTGGCC